GCTGTGAGCTAGGCTGAGGCCACAGCACTCTAGCCAGGGCCATAGAGCGAGACTCCGTCTCCAAAAATAAAAAAAAAAAGATGTAAAAGGCAAAGGTGAGGTATCTGACACATACTCTTTTGTCCCTTCGTCCTTCCCTTCATCCTGCCTGGAATGCAAACTTGGTGGCTAGAGCTAGGACAGCCGCCTTGAGAGCATGTGGATGAAGGTCATGCCATGAGGTTAGCAGAGAAATGGATTGCTAGCTGGGCCTGGTCCCTGGTGTCACTGCAGTGCCACCCCATCAACCCCAGACTGCTCACCTTGACGTGCTTTGATGTGGAAGAAAAAAAACAAACCCTTCTGTACGTGGAGACACTGTTTTGGGCTTTCTGTTACCAGCAACTGACATAAACCTTAACTGACACATAGTAAGTACTCAACAAACAGCAGCACTGTTTTCGCTTTTGCTGGAGGGGTTTAGATTTTATTTAAATATCATTTACTGTCCCAGAACACTCGAAGCTTTCCTCACTCAGCCCCGGGACTCCTCCATGTCTGGACTTCTCTCCTTGGCTCGTCCTCTGTCTCCCTTGCTGTGTCCTCCTCGTCTCCTGACCTCTAAATGGGTAGATTCTGTGGCACCGGCTCTCCTCTGCTGTCTACACCCCCATGCTGGGTGGTCCCCCAGCCCTCGAAAGCCATGTGTACCCTGACAGCTCCCAGATGGGACCTCCAGCCCTGTCACCGCCTGAGCTCCCGACTCACGGACCCCCTTGGGTACTAAACAGCATCTTGGGCTGACACACCCACAACCAAACTCCCGTTTCCTTCCCAGCCCGGGTCGCCTCTGCGTCTGCCCCATCCCAGCGGCACGTCCTGAGCCTGGGGTCAGCCCGAGTCCTCTCACGCGCCATTCCAACGAGCCCGCAGATCCCACCGGCTCAACGTTCAAAACAGAGCCGGACTCGCCGCGCCTCCCACCTGTCTTTCCTGGACAATGGCGGGGCCGTCTCACCAGCCCCCACCTGTGCCACCGCTTGCGGGCTGTGATGGCAAACCCTGTGCTTCCAGTGACCCTCCAGCGCTCCGGAGGGACAAGGCTGCCATGGCCCAGGGCCTGTTCGCCTGCAGGACCTGCTCTTCACACCAGGCTCCTCCCGGGAAGAGGCCCTCGCAAAGGCCCAGAGCCGCATGACCTGGCAGCCCCTGGGCCTCGAAGGGCAAAGGGCGAGGGGGTCCCCTGGTGGGCAGGAGACCCTCGGGGCCGTGGGCCACTCTGGACGCTGAGGAGCTCGGGACATCATCTGAGGAGCGACGAGTGGAGACCATGGGGCTGGGGGCCCCGGGGAGGATCTGCAGGCCCGCTGGCCCCCTGCATGTGGGCAGTGAGGGGCAGCAACAGGGTGACCTGAGCAGCTTGGCAGGGGCCGGGCAGGGGCCAGGCGGGGGCTGCCTCTCACCAAGGCCACGGCCCTGGGAGGAGCCGGCTTGGGCCGAGGTGAGGTGAGGTGAGGGAGGCAGCCCGTGCTGAGTTGCTGGGGCTGTCTGGTGTCCCCACAGGACATCAGAGCTGGACTCTCAGGGGCAATGGTGCTTGACTCACACCGAGCCCTACAGACGGAGGCCTCCCCAGCAGGGCCGAGCGGTGCAGCCGAGGGCGCGGCTGACCACAGGAGGAGGAGGAAGGTCACAGGGTGGGAGGGAGTGACCGGAGGCTTGGGAGAGCAAGGTCATGTCTGGTGCGGGGGCAGGCAGGGTGCCCGGGGCCGGGGGAGTCAGCACCAGGCCCCAGGGTACAGGTGGGGTTCCCAGCCCGGTGGGCAGCACCAGCCCTGCCGCCCCGAGCCCCTGCAAGACCCCATCCCTCAGTGGGACCAGCAGAGGGAGCCAGAGGGAGGGAGTCCGATGTCTGACCGCCTGTCCTTCTAGGCCCACTTACGGCATTACTGCCCCTTTGCTTTTGTTTTAGGCAAGACAAAGGACCTGGGCAGAATGATAAGAACTACAAACAGGGACACGCCGGGGTGGAAGGAGAATGCACGTGGCCCTGTGTAAACTGATCCCGGACATAGAGCAAACAACGACTCTGAGAGACCACGGGGAGTCAGCCCCCTCCCACAGCAGTCTGACCCTGGGAGGTCACAGTCGCTCCAGTCCCCAAGGCAGGCCCAGAACCCAAAGCTGGGGTGCTTGAGCCCTTGTCCTGCCCCTGACACCACCCACCACGAGGATGCCCTTGCCGGCCCACTGGAGCCACCTGCCTTCTATGGCACTGGATGTCCATGCATGTTGGGGCGGGGCAGGGCCAGGGAAAGGGACCAAAATGAGCATAGGGCTACAAAAGCGCCTGGAACAGGAGCGAGGGGCAACAGCGTGCAGCTCCGGGCGGGCTCGGCCCCAGCGTCCTGCGTCTTCTGCCATCCCTGCACATCGCCCTCCTGCTGGCTGGGACGATGACATTCCTCCATTGGAAATGTTCGCGGAGGACCCACTGTGTGCCAGGCACACTTCCAGGCAGCGTCGGCGAGCAGGCCTGTCACAGGCGCTTGTGTTCCGGGCAAGGAGGGCAACGGGCAGTAAACAGGACCAGCGAGGAGCTGAGTGGCAGGAGGGGCACAGGCAGGGCAGGCGGAAGTGCCAGGAGGGCTACAGCTTCACCGGGAGACCAGGGCCATTGCGTGAACTGAGGTGGGAGCCCTGGCACCTTTGAGAATGCCCGGGAGGCCAGTGTGGCCCGGGAGGGGGTGGGACCTCAGTGTGTGCTCTGAACAGGGCCCTGCAGGGCTCTGGAAGTGATGTGCCCTGAGCCTCTGGCCACAGCAAGAGGAGAGGGCAGGGGCCAGCAAGGACGAGGGTGGGGGAGCCGGTGCTTGGTGTATCCGGTCTGCGGCTGTCTCAGGCCTTCGAGCCGAGTGAGCAGAGTGTGGCGCAGGGGTCCTGGGGGTGGGGGTGGTTTCCCTGGGGCGGGAAGCCCTGACCTCCCGGGTTGTCAGGGTTACGGCTCCTCTCTCCCTCCTGGAGCTCCCTGGATCTCTGCGGGGTCCAAGTGCACAGGGAAGCCTCTGAGGCAGCGCCCGCATCTCCAGTTACACCTATTAACCTCTACCTACATTCCCAGCAGCGCTTTAAGGTGATTTTAAGAGAATTTGTTCTGGGACAGGCTGTAAATCAACCCCACCCCCCTTGCCCAGTTCCTCTAGGCACAGAGGTCCAGAGCCACCACCTGCCCTCACTGGCTCCCTTCTCAGGAACAAACGCAAGATAAGCAACACTTGTGGGTGGGGAACCTGTGGCCTGGGGGCCACATGTGGCCTCTGGGTCCTTGAGTGTGGCATTTTGACTGAGTCCAAATTTTACAGAACAAATCCTTTTAATAAGGCCGGTTTCCACCAGGTCCTTGGATTGTTGCATCACCATTTTCTTCTTTAATTAATAGACCAAAATGTATTTTGATACAAATATTAACTAACGTCTTTAATAATATCAAGCACTCAGACCTCTCTCTCCCCCTCGTGCACACACAGAGGAAAGGCCACGTAAGCGGCGCCGTCTACAAGAGGAAGCCTCCCAGAAACCCACCGTGACGCCCCTTGGTCTTGGACTTCCAGCCTCTAAAACTGGGAAAACCAACTCCTCCTGCTGCAGCTGCCCAGTCTGCAGTGTCTTTTTCTAGCAGCCCTCCTCCCGGGAGACTGACTCACACGCTCTTTTTCAATAAGGGCACCCACTTTGCCACTGCTACGAGCGACATTCCGGTTCATGACAACCGCACTTCAGGCCCCAAGCATACAGTAAAGACAGATCCATCTGTAATTAAATAGTTCAAGGGCCGGGCGTGGGGGCTCACGCCTGTAGTCCTAGCACTCTGGGAGGCCGAGGAGGGAGGATCCCTCAAGATCAGGTGTTCGAGACCAGCCTGAACAAGAGCGAGACCCCGTCTCTACTAAAATTAGAAAGAAATTAGCAGGACAACTAAAAATATATACAGAAAAAGTTAGCCAGGCATGGTGGCGCGTGCCTGTAGTCCCAGCTGCTTGGGAGGCAGAGGCAGGAGGATCGCTTGAGCCCAAGAGTTTGAGGTTGCTGTGAGCTAGGCTGACGCCACAGCACTCTAGCCAGGGCAACAGAGTGAGACTCTGTCTCAAAAAAAAAAAAATTAAATAATTCAAGTGTATGGCAGTGTTATACCGTGAATCCTCATTTACCATGATTTATCACAAAAGCTTTTGTAAAAAAAAAATGTAGGCAATGCAATCTGCTGCAACGGTTTATTATATTTAGAAGTCTACAAATTTGAGCTTTTAAGCAAGAGTTTGAGGTTGCTGTGAGCTAGGCTGACGCCACAGCACTCTAGCCAGGGCAACAGAGTGAGACTCTGTCTCAAAAAAAAAAAATTAAATAATTCAAGTGTATGGCAGTGTTATACCGTGAATCCTCATTTACCATGATTTATCACAAAAGCTTTTGTAAAAAAAAAATGTAGGCAATGCAATCTGCTGCAACGGTTTATTATATTTAGAAGTCTACAAATTTGAGCTTTTAAGAAAGATTCACAAAATATTCACTTGAAACCACATTTTTGGTTCATCAAATTTTAAATATATTTTACTGTACTGAACAATATATTCTAATGCTGTCTAAAACACAGCCAAATTATTTTTCTTTATTCATTTATACACATTCTGGAATTTTTTGCAAACCAAGATTAAGATAAAAAATATTAACAAAACTACCCAATTATAATTACTATTTGTCCATACACTGAATTATTTTTTGTAGCTTTATTTCTTATCTTATTCAATTTTAATTCTGTACACTATATCAATTTATAAACACACTCAGGGAATTCTCATCTTACATTTCTCATAAATTCAAACAGCAACACCTTGTCAAAAGATAAAATTCATTCCCTTGGCAATGTGGAAGCTTATGTTTGTCAAAAGCACTCACTAAAAAATATTTTTAAGTTTATAGATCATACAAAATAAACAATTTACAAAGGGACAAATGACTTTAAACATTATTTTGAAATCACCTTAAATGCAGAAACAGAAATGAAGCCATCTGTCAAATCAGACACCAGTCGTGTTGGGTCTTTTGTTGTTATTCTTTGCCCGATTTCTAATGACGTGTGTGGTCAATGTCGTTTCTGCAGGCCCATCTAGCATCAGATGAGCTGGTGGCCCATGTGTCACCTGGAGACCTCTCCTCCCCGACACGGAGCCTCTCAGTCCCGGGAGAGGTGGGAAGAGCCGGTGCCTCCAGGCCCAGCTGCTGGAACTAAAGATTCCAGGAACATAAAGCGGGAACGCACGGCTGTGTCAAAAGCAGGGCGCCCGAAGGGAGTAACGCAAAATAGAAACTACAATAAAGCTTCTACTACATCAAAAATAAGAATTTCTCCAAAGAAATATTAAAAATCAGAAATATACATAAACCATGTGAAAAAGTAGCAAAACAATCTGCAAAACTGTCTGGTCTCCATCGCAGCCTGTGACGCGGTCGCTGCTTCATTTAAAGAGGAGGAATTTCTCCAGGAAACACACGTCATGACGTCAATATTAAGAACCATAGCGATCCTGAAGGGAGAACCAAAGCGAAAGTTTATCAGCACTCAGCATCAACCCCTCGTTCCCACACACCGAATGATTCTCAGCATGACGCTGAACCGGCGCAGAGCACCCCGTGTCTGGCCCCGACACAGCGCTGCATCCTGAGCGTGCAAGTGGCTGCAGGCTGCCAGTGCCGCGGCGTCCCAAGGCTGAGGACTGCGCACGGGCTTTGGGAACCACCTGGGATTCACGTCTTGCCTCTGCCACCGAGGCCACGGCCCTGGGATTGTGCGCAGGGAGCAGAGCACCAGGGCCACATGCTGAACCCTCTGGGAAGCAAGTGTGATGAGGACAGAGGAACAAATTGGAGTTAGAAACTAAAATTTTGGCTCAGCTGGTGATCTTGCATAAGTGACTTGACCTCTCTGTGCCTCCATTTCTTCACCTGTAAAATGGGGATATATTAATACAAAGGGAGTGACCTATAAAATGGAGGTGATTATCTGTAAAATAGGGATGTTTCTACTTGGAAGGGTGGACATGGGCTCAGCTGACCTAAGGGACAGGAAGGAGCAGCGTGTGTCTGGGGCCGAGGGCACGCTCCCCACCCACAGCCAGGGCAGCGTCTGCCCAGGCCGGAGCGTCCCTCCCTCTAGCCACATTCACACTAGTAACAGAAGCCTGCGCAAACGGCTCGCCGTAGACAAGAAGGTGCAAGAAACAAGCCTTTTGTATGTACGAGTATGTCCCATCTTCCTTTTTTTTCTTTTTTTTTTTGCAAGTGTGAAATGACATTTATGGAGGAAGGACAAGGGCGGCTTACAGAGTGAGAGCAAGGTACGTTCACCACGAACGGCGAATAGGCCTCTTCTCCTAACAAAAAGGCCCCATCGTCCCTTATTTAAAAGACTGAAACAATCTAAACGGCCAACTTGGGGAGTAGACAGATAAATTACACGTATTTTCACTCAACATAATGTTGTTTCAGAAGAATTTTTTTTTTTTTTTGAGACAGAGTCTCACTGTGTTGCCGGGGCTAGAGTGAGTGCTGTGGCGTCATCCTAGCTCACAGCAACCTCAAACTCCTGGGCTCAACCGATCCTCCTGCCTCAGCCTCCCAAGTAGCTGGGACTACAGGCATGCGCCACCAGGCCTGGCTAATTTTTTCTATATATTTTTAGTTGTCCAATTAATTTCTTCCTAATTTTAGTAGAGACGGGGTCTCATTCTTGCTCAGGCTGGTTTCGAACTCCTGAGCTCAAACAATCCGCCCACCTCGGCCTCCCAGAGAGCTAGGATTACAGGCGTGAGCCACCGCGCCCGGCCTGAGAAGAAGAATTTTTAATTATATGAAAATGCTCGTAACATTATGGAGGAAAGTGGGACATAAAATCACATAGACAATATAATCGCTTTTTAATTTTAAGAAGATAGGTATAGAAAGATATGCTTAGAAATCTATTTTTTGGCCAGGTGCAGTGGTTCACACCTGTAATCCCAGCACTCTGGGAGGCCAAGGCTGGAGGATCACTTGAGGTCAGGAGTTTGAGACCAGCCTGAGCACGAGTTTGACCCCGTCTTTACGAAAAATAGAAAAATTAGCCAGGCATGGTGGCGTGCACCTGTAGTCTCAGCTCTTCAGCAGGCTGAGGCAGGAGAATCGCTTGAGCCCAGGAGTCTGAGGCTGCAGTGAGCTGTGATGACGCCACAGCACTCCAGCCTGGGCGACAGAGCGAGACTCTGTCTCAAAAAAACCACAAAACTATTTTTTCTTTTTTTAGATGTGCTTAGAAATCTAGAACTAAAAATATAGCAAACCATTAATGGAAGTTATCCCTATAAAGTGGGATTATGGATACTTTAAATTTTCTTCTTAATACTTCTGTGTTCCAATTTAGAAAAAATTTGGATAATGATCATGACAATTCCTGTAATAATTCCCCTAGAGTCATAAATTAGAAAATTTTAAACAAATATAAAATTGTAATTTCTGATTTTCATAATGTCCTGGGTTATACTGTAGTAAACACATAAATCAAATAATATACAATCTAATTTTCTAGCAATGGAAGAGTGGGCTAAATTTAATCTCATTTTCAAAATGATGAACCGTCACACTCAGTGAGCGCCATCCCCGTTTCACTGACCTGAATTGAAGTCATAACTCCATTAGCAAAAACAGAGAGTTTTCCAGCAACGGACCTCACTCCCTGCTTGAACTGCGCCATGTCGGGGGCGTTGGGCAGCACGCTGGAGAGGCTGTAGTTCCCTGCACACACAGAGCAGACGCCAGCGTCACTGCCAGGGCACTCGATGGCTTCAGAGAACCCAGATCCCACCCTCCTGCTTCCTCACAAGCAGCAGCTGTGGTGGAGGGGGAGGGCCCTACAGTGGGGTCAGGACTGGGGTTGAAGTGCCAGCCCAACCCCAGACTAGCTGCAAGACCCCATGCGAGAGAAGGGATAGCACTTAACACCACCATGGGTTCAAATCATGGCACTGTCTCTGAAGAACTTCCTTGCCCTCTCTGGACCTGTGTCCTCAAGGTGCTGGGCACGGTCCTGGCACGTAAGGACTCCCCACTGGTAGAAGGGCAGATATTGATGGCTTCAGTCTGCTCAGCATTGCTTCCTCCTCTTCTAGGTAAAAGCACTTCTCACTTCCTCTGGGGACCACCTCTCCCCTCTCCCCTTCCATAGGGGTGGGCACATGATCCAGGCCTGACCAATCAGAGCCTTCTCTGGGATTCATGTATACTCAAAGGAGAGGAGTCATTTGCTTGCTCTGGGGTTACTGGCAGGGACAAAGCAAAGCTGCAGCTGTCTGTGACTACAGCTGTCCCCTTCCCACTCACTTGGACAAAGGAAGCCTGTACAAGTGAATGAGGCTCATCCAGGGAGGTGAGCCAAATGGGTGAGTCTGTCCCCTTGATGCTGTCTGACTGTGACTTGGTAGCCAGACTTCCCAAGCACCGAAGTCCACACTTCTGCCTTCTTTACTCAGGCTAGTGTTAGCTGGGTTTCTCTTGCTTACATTTTGGTTGCCCTGACATAAACATCACCGTTATTGTCACCAATGTAGGTAAAGCTTGTCAGTGTCATCACACATAACCACAGGTTCATAATAAACTTCTGTCACACAGTTGTCGTGAGATACAAGGACTCAGTGACTGTGACCTGAATGCAAACCCTGGAGGCCCTCAGGGGTAGCCAAGCCCAGCTCTCCCCTGGGCCCCACACATGACACCACCCGCCCCTTACAAAACAGAAACCCTTGGCCAGGACTCTTTCTAAGAACAAAACAGAACTGATGGGTTAACCTTCAGCATTGATCTCGCCTAGAAGACACAGTGCATCCCTCACAGCATCGTTCCCGGGCCCACAGCCGCGGGGCCCTCTCCTCCCCATCTCCGGCTGACTGTTCAGAATTTCGCAGGTCTTTGCCAATGACAGCAGAAGCCCAGCATCGTTGACAGGATCTGGGTGCTGCCTCTCGTGAGGGCTGCCCAGGCAGGCTGCAGGGGACAGGTGGCAGCAGTCAAAGACAGCCCAAGTGCACTCAGGTTCTACAATAGCCTCTGGGAAATGACACCTCCAGCCACCTGCTCAGGAAAAGGGTTGCTGACCCACAGACTAGCCAGTTCCCCTCTCCTGACTATCTGTTCCCGTAACACCCGAAGTGTGCCAGGTACTGAGCACCCGCCACAGATCTGCTTTTCCATGGCCCACCACCCGCTGGGGAAAACAGACAATTAACTGATAACGTCACTGAAGTATGACCTGTGTTGTCTGGAGGGGACACAGAGCAAACACAAGTGGGCAGTTGGGAGGCAGCTGCAGGGGTCCAGGCAGGCGGGGCGGCAGCTGAGCCTAAGCGCGTGCGGGTGGCAGTGGATCAGGAGTGGACAGGTCTGCGTGTCCTGAGGAGGTACCTGTCAGGGGGAGCACTGACCGCGCAGCTGAGGGAGGCTGAGAAGGAGAGAGATTACGGATGATTCCCAGGGTTCTGGTTTGAGTGGCCAGGAAGATGGGGGCTTCTCTCTCAGATGGAGGGGAAGGTGAGCCCCACAGTGGTTGGCGGCTGGGGGGAAGGCCCTGTATCAGTCAGGACAGGACAGGTGACACTGTACTAACAAAAAGCTGCAACTGAAGTCCGCTGTGCCCAACGTGAGTCAGCAGGGGTTCTGCTTGTGACAGTCACTTGGGATCCAGGCCCATGGGGCCACCTCTTAATTTGAGCTACCTTGGCAACCACACAGGGAAGAAACATGGTAATATGCACACGAGCTCTGAAAGCTCGTGCGGGAAGCAGAACACGTCCCCACTGTAGCCTGGCCCTGGCCACGGACCAGCCTGCGCTGGCTGGTAGGCGGGCACTCCCGCTCAGCGACATCCTTGGTTCATTCGTCAGCACCCATCCCTGAATTCACCAAACCCTTGCCGGTGGCTTCCTCTATGGGACTGTCAGGTGCCAAGGGCGTAGAAATGAAGAGGGGACAGGTCCCACACCCAGAGAACTCCCAGTCCAGCTGGGGGAGACAGTCGTTGGTGGCCTCACTGCTGGGGAGAGGCACAGGCTGGCACAAAAGGTCGAGCCGGCCCCGGGTGCAGGGGTGGAGCTGTCTGGATAGATGGGGAGGAGCGTTCGAGGCTCTGAGGCCCAAGGGATCCTAGTGTGCCCGGGGTGCCACAAGCTCATGCCAAGCTGGAGCCAGCCACAAGCAGTAAACCATGATAACGACGCTGGAAAGGCCAATGGCAAGATGGCCCTGAAGGCGGGTGCTGGGCGGTGGGAGGGGGTGCACTCCAGCCCTAGGGTGGGGCCGGGACTGTGCTCTGGAAGACCCCACTGGGAGGAGTGAGGGGAGTTGGGGGCAGGACGGAGCAGGAGGACCAAGCAGGGGGCTGTGGCCACAGTACAGGCAGGTATGGGGACTCACTGATGCCTGGGAGCGGCACAGAGGCCTGTGGCGTGCTGGGGGTGGGGGGAACAGTCCAGGAGGACTCGCAGGCTCCTTAAAATATGAATTTTTAATGGATACCATGTTCCAATTTCCCTGAAATGGAGACAAATCAAGAGAAAAAGTGTTTCCAAGATTATGAGAATAACAAGTTTAGTAATGAACAAAAGCTCTCTAATGGCTACTTCGGGCCACAGGTGTAACAGGCAGCACTTGCTGCACTCGTCGACCTGCACCTCAGCTGCCGAGGCCACAACCAGCCGAGACGTCTGACAAGTGAGTGCAGCAGCAGCAGCCGAACCGATCACCCGGCGCAGGCGAGCAGGGTGCTTCCCGGGCCTGGAGCCCCGCAGAGGCACGCTCCTGACTCCGGGCCACAGCAGGGAGACAAGGAGGAGCCAAGGGGCCCTCCAGATGCAGGGGACAAAGGTAAACGACCCGCTGGGTGCCCAGGAATGGTCCATGGCGCCTCTGGCTCTCCCAGGCAGACTTGATATGGAGAGGGGCAGCCGGTTTCAAGCTCCCTTTGTTGTGATGTGGCTCTCACAAAGCTACCTCTGCTCTGTCATCTGGCGCCCAAGTGCCCCGTCCCCACCTGCCTGAGACAGTGCCCAGGTGACGGCAGTCGCAGGGCCCCCACCAACCCTGCTCCCTGGAGTGCTCTGGGCACTTACACGCATGTCCCACTCAGTCCTTCAGCAACACTGGAGGGGAATGACCGTGCTCTCGGGTTAGACCACATCCCCAGAAAGCACCTTACTTCACAGAAGCCATTTCAAATTGGAACTTCCTTTTTTATTTCTTCCCCTTCAAAGGAGTTATAAAGGTCTGCTATGACCTACTTAATGACACTGACATTTCACACACAGGGGGAACATTCAAAGATAAGGAACACAGAATAGTGTCTTAAGACCAGCTTTTGCTCTTTGCTGAAACGTACTCTAAGTAAAAAATACTTAATAAAAGTTGCTTGATGTGCTTACATTTATGGTGGTTATTAAAGCATCTTTTATGACCCCCCCCCCCATGGAAGATGCAGCAAGAGGACAGCGAGGTCTGAAACAGTAGGGTCTGGGACGGAGGCAGGGGAGGGAGGATGAGCCCTGCGAGGCAACCAACTGGCTGGGAGGGGCAGGGGACAAGGTCTCTGGGTGGCCTCACACCCCGCCGACCAGAGTTTGTCTAGGACCCACACGTGGTCAAAACACTTAACGGATCTTTGTTTTCTACTGTTCCCTCCAAGGGAAGAGGAGGGTAAACACAGGCTGGCTACAGCTCTCCTCCAACTGGGAAAGCTGCTCTCAGCTGATCCCCAACCTTTTTTTTTGTTTTAAACAAATAATAATGTTTCAGAGTAAAACTCCCAGAGACTTGAATTACAAAAGCATGCACCGAGGAGGTGGATTTTCTACAACATAGGTCTCTGGACTGACTTGCCAGCTGTGCCAGGGCTTTTCAAGGTGGTCCAGCCCTGATCCCTGGGGACAGTGGGGCTGGGAGTGGGGTCCATCCAAAGGGCGGCCAGAGCACCTCTTTGTATGGGGCGGTCACAAAAGACAGATGCCCTGACAAAAGGCCAGGGTACGAAAAATTTGGAGATGAGAACACAAGCCAGTGAGCCTCACTTGTCCCCACTAAGACGCAGGGAATGCCCAGTTGGCACATGACTGACCAAGGGCAATAGGTCCCTCCGCTTGAGGTTAGGGGTGGGGAGAGAAGGCACAGGCTGTGTGCCTGCCCAGAGAGTGGCTCCGGGGAGCCATGGCCCTGGCTGTCCCCCTGCACCCTCCACCCTCACTGGTGGCAGACATGCTGGGCTTGCCCACTCTGGCCGTGGTCCCTGGCTCCTTGAAGGGCCAGCTGCCTCTCTGCCCACTGGCAGCTCACTCTGCCAGCTGCTCTGCTAGTACACAGCCCTGGTTCACCAGGTGCCACCCAGCTAGAACGCTCCCTCCTCCCACTGTAGCACGGCAACCTGGCAGTGCACACCACGGCCACGACAGGTCTCCAACATCCCAACCTCAACACAGAACGTCCCACTCAGACCTTCTCTGTTGAGGCTGTTTCTCTTTGGGCTCAGAAAACAGTTGTTTCTGTGCTGTAAAGCCAAGTGGCTGTCCATGTTGGCCACGCTATGGGCTTCCTAGAGCCACACCCAGCTCTAGGGCTGGAAACAAGGGGTGCAGGGGGCACCAGGCCCAGAACGCCTGGCTCCTGGGTCCTCCCTCCCCTGCTGACAAGTGGATTCCTAAAATGACCTCAGAGGGCTGCCCCTTTAATGTTAAGCACAGGGCCTCCCTCACACCTGCAGCCTGCAGAGGCGGGTGTGGGGCACTCCCACAAGGCCTTCCTGACTCTAGGGATGCGGAGGTGGAAGAAGAGGGGGGTGCAGTTCTGGACGGTGTGTGAGGGGCCTGCGTTCAGAGGACCCCGCCTGGGCTCACAGGCTGCTTCATCCTTGCCCAGCCCTGGGATGACCGGACACCAGATCACTGGGGTCTGAACCCTAGAGAGGGATGGGGAGGCAGGCAATTCCTCTCCGCCTGCCCTCTTCCAAAGCTGTGCCCTGCCTTCCCTGGAGGACTGACCCTGGTGGAGTCACCTCTGCCCAGCCGTGGTGCCTACGAGGGTCCTGAGAGGCATCTGCTGTGTGTCAGACATGGGGTAGGACACTTTACATACAGCATCTCATCCAGCCTCATTACAACCCTGTGCAGTAGGCATCATCCCCCCACTTTACAGAAGAGGAGACTGAGGCTAAAAGCGCCGTAACACCCTCCAGCGCTCACAGCTGTGGAGTGGTTGGCGTCACAGGGAGCCCGGGGCCACCCACCTCCAACACTAAGACACTACATGGGACCTGACACCACGTTCACACTACGGTAGAAAACATTCATCTATGACAATGGCCTGCCAGGTCACGCAGGGGATATTGCTTAAATTTCTTTCTTTCTTTCTTTTTTTCTTTTTTTGAGACAGAGTCTCACTCTGTTGCTCGGGCTAGAGTGCCGTGGCGTCAGCCTAGCTCACAGCAACCTCAAACTCCTGGGCTCAAGTGATCCTTCTGCCTCAGCCTCCCGAGTAGCTGGGACTACAGGCATGAGCCACCGTGCCTGGCTAATTTTTTCTATCTATTTTTAGCTGTCCAATTAATTTCTTTCTATTTTTGGTAGAGACGGGGTCTCGTTCTTGCTCAGGCTGGTCTCGAACTCCTGAGCTCAAACGATCCACCCGCCTCGGCCTCCCAGAGTGCTAGGATTACAGGCGTGAGCCACCACGCCTGGCCTGATATTGCTTAAATTTCATGGTTTGGTCTCCTTACACGTGAAGCCTGGAATACTAACTTCTGCTCTACCTGACTTATAGCAGAGATAAGAGAATCAAATAATGGCTGCTAAAATGTCTTGGAAAGGGAAAAGTCCTATCCAAACAAACATGTTCATGTGTAGACCAGCCCTCACTCGGTCCCACCATCACCTGCTGTCTGCTTCCTCTGCTCATCGAACAGGTCAGCCGAGCTTATGGAGGAACTGGCTGAGAGCCGCTCCAGACGGGCCCTGGTTTCATACTGCAGAAGACAAGGAAAAGGAAACATCAGGATCCAAAAACTCATGAGCAATTTTACAAAAAGAATCACCAAAGAGCTGTCATTTGAAATATTTGTCCTCCTAGGCTCTCTCTCTCCAACGGTTACTGAATGCCACCCCACGGCTGGGCCCTGGGGGACAGCATGAAGCTCATGTCCTGGATAGGAGGCAGGTCACAGGTGGACAGATCAACATACCACACCCTGGCCAACAGCAGTCAGTGCAAGGGGAGAGCACGGCACCTCTCTCCTGCACTGCTTCCAGCAGCTGCCAGGAAAGGCCACTCCCAGGCTTTCTTCCAAGCCCCACCACCCTATTTTAGAACTGAACTTGAATGTCATCAATTTTAAAACAAGGCAAATAGGCTGGGGGAATGGCCAAGAGGCAACTCTACCCACAAAATGCTGGTGCGAGTTCTACTGCTGCAAAATACCCTCAGCACACGTTAGGAAATCATTCTCCCTGTAGTCCGCGAAGCCTGGCATAACACGTGTCTCCAGGAGTTCTGCATAAGCACACTAGTGCTACAGGGTAAGCGGGGAACCCGAACCTTTCCATGTCCACTGGAGTCTTACAGCTTGGCAAGAATCTACCAAGATGAACTAACTCATTAACATTTCTGAGAAAAGGCAACAACCTGAAAATAAATATATCTACTCCCCAAAAAACGTATCAGGCTGGGCACAGTGGCTCAGGCCTGTAATCCTAGTACTTTGGGAGGCTGAGGCAGGAGGATCGCTTGAAACCAAGAGTTTGAGACCAGCCTGAGAAAAGTGAGACCTGTCTATACAGAAAAAAAAAAAAAAAAATTTTTAAGAGACGGAGGTTCACTGTGTTGCCCGGGCTATAGTGCTGTGGTGTCAGTCTAGCTCACAGAAACCTCAAACTAAACCTCTGGGCTCAGGCAATTCTCCTGCCTCAGCCTCCTAAGTAACTGGGACTACAGGTGCATGCCACCACACCTGGCTAATTTTTTCTATTTTTAGTAGAGACAGGGTATCACTTTTGCTCAGGCTGAAAAATATTTTTTAAAAGGAAAACATCTATGTGCTTCATTTAACTATGCTTAAAAATTATTAAATCACAGCTGTATCACTGTATCAAAAATCACCTGCAATCTGCTCAGAAGATACTGAATAATGGCTATACAGAACACTGATAGAGTAGTAAGAGAATGATGAGACACGGTCCCTGCCTCCCATGCTCTCCTCTTGACAACGCGACAGGTAGGGGATTGATCAGACAGACCTGGGTTCGAGTCCTGGCTCCAGCACTCTCCCACAGGGGTCTCCAGCAGCCTGAGCCCCTCTCACACAGGGTCCCCTCCTCCCACACCCACGCTTCCTTCCTGCTCCATGGGGCCCCCACAGAAACTCTCTGGACCCTTACGTCAGCCTGGGCTTGCCTTCCAAAGTACATATCTGATGAAATGGCCTTGACGTTGCCAAACTTCTTCTGGGCCTCATCTGTGTTTTCAACTGTCTCATGATCTGGTTTGCGGCGAGCAGTAGGTCTACGGTGAAAAACAGCCAACGTAGGTCAAACTCATTTGAGGTGAGGCAAATGTGCTTCTCATTTACAGTGTATACATGTGCTGGTTTTTTTTTTTAATTTTTCAATTTTTATAGATGGGGGCACAGTTTTGCTACACGAATATAGTGCATCATTGCAAAGTCTGGGCTTACAGTGTACGCTGTGCCCCTTAAGTAATTTTTCATCCCTTGCCTCGCAACCCTCTCACCCTCCCGAGTCTCCAATATCTATTATTTTGCTCCCACTTATAATGGAGAACACGTGGTAATAAAAGCCAACAGCAGTAACTTTTGTAAAAGGATTTCAGGCCACTTTAAAAAGCCTGAAAATTCTAATAAAAAATGAACAAATATCCAAACCACACAGTATTTGAAGGATTTCTTGTTTAGGATGGGTCTGTTATTTCAAATTCAAATCAGCTAATAAACACTGAATACACTGTAATGTCCATAGGACACTGCTCTACAGTACATAGGCTATAACATGAGCAACTGTACATCCTAGTTACCTGGGACAATCTCAGGTTACGCCTGTTGTCCCAACATATTCGTAGTGTCCCCTTGCACTCTTAAAAGCTCCCTGATTTGAGCAATAAATTATATGGTCCTTCATTCATAATCACCAAAAACCGGAGACAGTCCTTCAACAGAAAACAGATAAACGAACTCAGCAATGAAGAGGAGTGAACGCAACAGCGCGCACGAGTCCCCATCAACGCACCAGGACAAGGTAAAGCAGACAGACGAGAAAGGCAACTACCGTATGACTCTGTTTATATGACATTCTGGGAAAGGCAAAATCGCAAGGCCAGAAAACAGACCAGGGGTGGCCAGGGGCTGGGGGAGGGGAGGGGTGACTACAAAGGGCATAGGGCAGCAGTCCCCAACCTTTTTGGCACCAGGGACTGGTTTCATGGAAGACAATTTTTCCACGAATCGGGGGTAGCGGGGGCCGCGTGGAGCTCAGGTGGTGATGTGCAGACCAGCTCCTAACAGGCGGAGCACTGGGCCATGGCCCAGGGGTTGGGGACCACAGGCATAGGGGACTTTCAGGGGGTGATGAAACTGTTCTGTATCTTGGTTTTGGTGGCAGTTACATGACTGTATGTGCTTGTCAAAACTTGCAGAACTACATGAAAAAGAAAAAAAAAACTCGCAGAATTGTAATCTAAAAAAGACAAATTTTACTATGTACATAATACCTTAAAATGGGGGAAAAAGTGACACCTTCCTGCACTAGGCTATCCCTGAGCCATGGATCAGAATGTCCAGGGAAGAGGCCTCCCCATACATGTTTCTTACAAGGTCCACAGGGGATTCTGATGTGCACCTCCAATTTAGAATCACTCATTTAAAATAAAAAGAATATTCCTGAAATAGTACAACAAAATCATTTACTAGTCTTACAAAAGATTTTCATACCATCATGTTATCAGTCATTTTTTTCCTAGAGGAGTATGGGTTCACCATTACAACCCCAAAGTTTTGCCGCTCATACCTGTCAGAATAGCCTGTGGTTTTCAGAACTGTTTCGGTATCTTTGCTGGTTTCTTTTTTCCAATAGGAATCTGAACTGTCATCCCAGCTAGAAAATGAACTGCCCCTTAACTCCAACGGCTCGTCAAAGTACCTGTGTGAGCAAGAGTACAATGGTGACTTTGGAGGCCCTTATTCACACTCTCTAATGTCAGTTTCTCTCATTTCTGGGACCAGGAGGATGACCAGGTCTGGCCAGTGATACAGGAGCAGACTTGTGGTGTGTCATTTCCAAAGCCTTCCAAGTGCCCATTCTCAACCAGTCCTCTCTTCCCTAGCAGCACGGAAGGTCATGTCTTCCAGGTGCTACAGCTTCAGGCAGGTGAAACCTCCATGAGTCTGAACCATCCAGGTGCCACTTGGAAGATGGGTACCCTGGACAATCAGTCACCTGCACTGTCAGCTGACTTCATATGAACAGTAAACTGCCGTTGTGTTAAGCCCTTGAGATCTTGGGGATGTTTATTATCCCAGCGTAACCCAGCCTATCCGGACGTGACATCCCCAGATGTTATCCACCACAGGTTACATATTTCATTTTCTCAGGTCTAGCTCTGCCTGGCTAGGAAGTCACAGACAATGCTGCGGGGCTTGGAGCGCTGACCCCATCCAAGGAGCTGCTTGCTGGCAATCCCTTCTGTGTTAAGCATGTGAAATGAAAACGATAAAACGATGCTGATTAACCCCCTCTGGAGTTGGATACGGTGCTACGGATCATTGATCCCTGGACCATTCTGCAGGTGCTCTTCCAGTCCGGAGCCTGCAGTAAATTTGATGTGATTTGTGAGCATCTCAGGAGAGGCTGGCCCCTGAGTCAGCTTACACCTTCATTAGCTGAGCATCACTGAGCAGGGCTTTGCTCAGAGAGCAGCACTCAAAGGCAGCTTTTGGTCCTGTGTGGTTAGAGAAAAATTTTTGACCTAGAGCAGCAATGTCTGCCTGGAACAGGACAGAAATTGATAGGTGAGGTGGATGTGCCATGTCAGAATTCACAACAGCTTAGGATGGAAAAGCAGTCTGGCAAGACAGGCCCGCCTCATGAAGGCGGATTCCAAGACGTTCAGAAAGGCAGATCCCAGGGAGGGTCTTAGGAAAGGAAAGGTGACTTGGAAGAGAATATAGAGGCCTTAAAAAATGTCACTCAGGGCCGGGCGC